AGGCCACAGTGGGGTTTTCAGAGTTTACAACGGTACATGCAAAGTAGGCCATGAACACATCACTGGCCATGCTTATTTGAATGTCTGGGAGGCAGGGGACGTGCGGTGACGAAGCACACAAGCCCAAAATTCTCAATGTATGGAGGTGGGATAGGGAGATGAGATCACCCATGTCCAAACAGCTCTAATGTGACATATGTTTTAAACAGATTTCAATGATTATTACTAGACATAATCTTTACCTTTATGCAAATACCACATCCAATGCACAATGTTTCAGAAATCCATGCTATTTTGCACTGTGATGTCACTTCTATGCACAGCTTCCCTGGTGAAAAGGAATATTAAAAAGGTTAGACACGCAGGTCTTATTGAAAGCATTAGTATGGAATGTGATCTAGAAACCACGCAGTAGCATCAATTTGTGACTTAAACCTCAAATAGTCATGAATTTGAATTCCACATGATGCAGTTTTCATGGTTTTGATTGCCCCAAATTCTCAATATTCTTGATATGATACTGTACTTTCCTACATTCCAAAAAACCCCCAAAAAACTACTGAAGATGGCAGATACGCTGGATACTTAAAAATCTGACTCTGTAGTCTAGAAACCAGTAAGTGAAACATTCAACCTGATTTAATTTTAACAGAGTTTTGTATTAAGAGTTTTCAGTTCCTTACCCATTCGAACCACAGGACAGCTCTTTTTGCACTCTTGACGGCATTTCTTTGGCTTACACTTGTCATGGCTGACAATAGCAATTCTTGTTAGCTTATCAGCCATTGTGATGAACTTAGAATTACGCAGATAACACAGACTTGAGATTCCAAAACAATGGAATTGGATAATTCAAGTTCTAGGTGGAAACAAACAGAATGATTAATAAAAAGTGAGAAAGCACAGGATTGGAGTATAAGAAGTGCAGTCCAAGATCAAGCATGTTCATTAAACTCAGGCATGGGTTCTCATTTTGACAGGCAATCATTGTGGGCAAAGTCTAGAAACTGGGAATGTGTTGCCCTCCCACTCACACCTGCCCCAGCCAGCATGAGCAATAGTCAGCAATAGTTAAGACTCCCAACAGCATTTGGAGGGTCACGGATTCCCAACCTGCTCAGGTTCCCAATATTTATTCAGCTGGTTGTGACAGACAAGGAAGAAATACCAGTTTTTATATGGAAAACTACAGAGACTGAGAAATGCAAAGAAAGAGAAAAATCTGGTTACCTTCCTTATGCATATTTCAAAGATAGGACCTATCCTGCCATATTTTAATACTTCAACTTATATTCAACAAAGTGTCAAGAAAATATATCAAAACCAACCTGCAGAGCTGATGAAATGTGTGTGTATATTCATACACACAATAAAATGTACATACCGCTTGACTGTAAAAAACCCTCAAAGCAATTAAAATATAGATATATACACATACTTCTAATTACTTTTTCTTGCAAAGTGACAAATTATTTCTGGAAAGTATTTTTATCCAAGGAAACATAAAGAGGTCTCTTACATTTTTTTATTCATGCATGCTTATATACACCACAGTAATTTTATTCTCCACTTTAAAAATTCATTGTGGTAATTGGTGGGTCATTTTGATGCTGTGAAAAACTAGTGGCACATACTGAATGACAAAGGCATTATCTCCTAGCAATGGAAACAAGTCTCTGGCTCAACTCCACCGATCAATATTACAAACTTCTTTACTACCATGGATTGATAAATTCACTTTCATGTATAACCAAATTTAAGTTAACACTTGAACTGGTAAGGACTTAACAGCAAGATGACTGGGAATATGCTGCCTTCAAGAATATTGTGCTTTTGCCTCCTGCAAAACTGCCTCATTATCTCCAATAACTATGCTTCCTACCTCTGAGTTGGACGCTACAAAATTATAAGGTAAATCAAATACTAGCATGCTTCTAGTGCCATGATCTTTAGCTGCAAGTGTACTGTCCTGAAAATCAGGTATTACAATAACTAGGTGAGCAGAATAGACAATTTTCTAGGGAAATCTTTTATTTAAAAAATGCTTTAGAAATTGGGCCCAACCGGGAGAAATTAGAAAGTGTTTCCAGAAATATTTTAAAAAACTGTACACCCAAGGGCCTGAGGAAGTGACCGAGATAGAACAGTTCTTGAAAGATAATGGCCTACCAGAACTATCTCAAGAGAGGAGATCAATCTTGAATTGTAAAATAACACAACAGGAAATCGAGGTTGCCATACAGAACATGCAGCTAGGCAAATCTCCAGGCCCCGATGGACTCACCTCCAAGTACTACAGGATGTTAAAGGACTACTTGACACAACCATTAATGGAGGTTTGTAACCAGATTATGGGGGGAGGGAGGGCACCAGAAACGTGGAAAGAAGCATTCATCACACTGATACCTAAAGTGGAGACTGAAAAGACTCAACTTAAGAACTACCGTCCCATCTCACTTCTAAATGTGGATTACAAAATATTTGCAGACATTTTGGCAAATAGATTTAAAAAGGTTTTAAATGAAGTAATTCATAAGGACCAAGCAGGCTTTCTCCCAGGTAGACATTTGTTTGATAACACTAGGAATATTATCGATATTCTGGAACTTTTACAAACAGATATTAACACTAAAGCAGTGTTAATTTTTATTGATGCGGAGAAGGCCTTTGACAATATTTCTTGGAAATTTATGAAGAAAAATTTGGAAGGGATGGGAGTGGGAAGGGGGTTTGAGAACGGAATAGAAGCAATCTATTCCGAACAAAAAGCTAAGTTGATAGTGAACAATGTGGTGACAGAAGAACTTCAGATTGAAAAAGGAACACGTCAGGGGTGCCCCCTGTCCCCTTTATTGTTTATCTCAGTCCTGGAGGTCTTGCTGAACATGATAAGGAAGGACCGGCAGGTACAAGGAGTACGGGTCGGAGTGAAACAATATAAACTGAAAGCATTTGCAGATGACTTGGTTTTAACATTACAGGAGCCAGAATCTAGTACAAAAAGAGTTTTGGAACTGATCCAGAAATTTGGTCGGGTGGCGGGTTTCAAGTTGAACAAACAAAAAACTAAGGTGCTAGGGAAAAATTTGACAGCTACTGAAACAGAAGGGTTTCAGAAGGAAACAGAACTAAATATTGTTAAAAAAGTGAAATATCTGGGGGTCAATCTTTCTTCCAAGAACTTGAATTTATTTAAAGATAACTATGAGAAATGTTGGTCAGAAGTTAAAAAAGATTTAGAAATTTGGTCAAGACTGAAGTTATCCTTGTTAGGCCGAATTGCAGCTATAAAAATGAACGTTTTGCCAAAGATGTTGTTTTTGTTTCAGGCCTTGCAGATTGTGGACAGAGTGGAATGTTTTGTAAAGTGGCAGAAGGATATCTCTAAATTTGTCTGGCAGGGCAAAAAGCCCCGAATAAAGTTTAAAATACTAACTGATGCAAAGGAGAGAGGGGGGTTTGCCCTGCCGGACTTAAGGTTATATTATGAAGCTGCAGCCTTCTGCTGGATGAAAGATTGGATTTTGTTAGAAAACACTGATGTCCTGGATCTGGAAGGCTTTAATAACTCGTTGGGTTGGCATGCGTATCTGTGGTATGACAAGGTAAAAACACATGGAATGTTTAAAAACCATATTGTCAGAAAAGCAATATTTATGGTCTGGAAAAAATACAAAGATTTATTAGAAAGCAAAACTCCGAGGTGGGTATCACCAATAGAGGCCAAGGCTCGGAAAAAACCCAATATGGAGGCCGGCTGGCCGAAATATTGGGAAATAATAGAAAAAATTGGAGACAACTGGAGGTTACAGAGCTTTGAAAGGTTAAAGGGTAAAGTGCAAGATTGGCTTCACTATGCCCAAATTAATGAGGTTTTTAAGCTAGACAAAAAAACAGGATTCCAGGTGGAAAAATCGAAACTTGAGACAGAATTGTTAGAACCAAAGACCAAGCTATTATCGAGAATGTACAACTTGCTGCTTAAATGGAACACTCAGGATGAGACAGTTAAATCAGCCATGATAAAATGGGCTCAGGACATTGGTTATAACATCATGTTTGAGGACTGGGAAAGGTTATGGACCACCGGTATGAAGTTTACGGCATGTAATGCCTTGAAAGAAAACATTATGAAAATGGTATACAGGTGGTACATGACCCCAGTCAAGCTTGCTAAGATTTACCATTTGTCCGATAATAAATGCTGGAAATGTAAGGAGGCTGAAGGGACATTCTTTCACCTCTGGTGGACCTGCCCAAGAGTGAAGGCCTTCTGGGAAATGATATATAATGAGTTAAAAAAGGTGTTTAAATACACTTTCCCTAAGAAACCGGAGGCATTCCTCCTGGGCATTGTCGGTCAGAAGGTGTTAAAGAAGGATAGAACTTTTTTTATGTATGCCACTACTGCAGCAAGGATTCTTATCGCCAAGCATTGGAAGACTCAAGATTTGCCCACACTGGAGGACTGGCAGACGCAACTGATGAACTACATGGAACTAGCTGAGATGACTGCCAGGATCCGAGATCTGGGAGAAGAAGCAATGGAAGAGGACTGGAAAAAATTCAAGGACTATTTGCAAAAGTATTATAAGTTATATGAACTTTGAGATGTCGTATGACTTGGAATGTTAGCGCCAGCAAGGAGAGTGGATTATATAAGAAATTGGATAATATTAATGAAAGAACCAAAGTTTAAACGTGTAAAAATAATAATATGCTATATTTTTAGAGTAAATGGAGAATAAGGGATTTAAACTTAAATTGCAATTGAAAGTACAAAGAAACACATGAAACAAGGGTACAACTTGCTGATAAATTTTATTGTTAAGAATGCACTAGGCGGGAGATGTGGGGAAGTCCGATAGAAATTTGAAAAAAGTTGTTGAAAAGGTTGGGTTTTTCTTTTTGTTCTTCTTTTCTGTGTTTTTTCTTTTTTCTGTTGTATGTGTAACTGGAAAATGTAATAAAAATTATTATAAAAAAAAAAAGAAAGAAATTGGGCCCAACCAGAGATTGAAATGGTGATAGCATGAAAGTACACTCTGCAGAACAGTAACTGTCGAGATAAGGGGATACATCTTTAAGTATGTTCAGCATAACAATACAATATGAATACTTATAAATATCTTTTTGACTAAGCTCTTTACAGAAGTAGTTACATAATCAAAAACATAACAGACCAGATGTGACAATAGGACATACCATGAATATAACATATGATTAAGTAATACAACAATAAAATAGGATGGAAGATTAGAAAGACAGAGAGAAAGGAAATTAAGGAATAGAATCCCAATGGGACAATGAGTATTTCATGAAAAAAATAAGAAATACCACTGAAGAGCACACTTCTGAGCCAGAGAGGAATAAGGAGTTTTGGGGGTCTGCCTCAACTTTCAGATAAATGTTTTCAGATAAACAAAGATATTCTATCTTATTCTCCTTCTCTCACATCCTTAATGTAAATACATTAAAGTGTTCTTTGTACAGAATGCTACACCCCAGTGCATGTTCTCTATTACTGGAAAATTCTTATTGCTAGGTAGGCTCTATAATAAAGCTGTTTGCACAGCAGAATACCTTGGACCACAGTCTGGAAAACAGAATGGTCACTGTAAAAACAAAGTTGGCCATCCTCATCATATTACATATATAATAGACTTGCCTTTAAAACAGACAACCCAACCTTCTACCTACACAGCAAATGCCTCAGTGTGGCAGAAAAACACTATTACTTCAATTATGTTACTGTAATTCTTTTTTTAAAAATTGCTTTAAGGTAAAACATATTTTATTTGCAAGAAATTGAAAAAGTGCATTGAAAATTAAGCATATTTACATGATCAAATCTTCATTTTAACTTCTGATTATCTTCAATGTGAAGACATGGTTTCCACTGAGACAAAGCTATCAAAAGAAGTGTTCTTTATCCATAGTCCAAATATTATGCAGGCAATGCCATCCCAACACAAACCAAATAGGAAGTCAGCAACTCACTCTTGAGATCCTTCAGTTGCTGTTTAGCACCTAAACTGTTTTTCAGCCAGTTAGTAACTGTAAGCAGATGCTGTCACTGTGAAAGCTGTGATGCACCATAAGGTCTGAAGATACTGTCCACATAATTGAAAACAGGAGCTGCTAAAGAAGCTGCCACTAAGATGAGCTGTACTACTGTGTTCATCTTGCTGATAAATGTTGGCTTTAACTGAGCAGTGGCATAACATGGATTAAAATATCTAAGTGTTCTTAGTGGAGGAACAGTTCTGTATTGCACATAAAAAACAGCAGCAATTAATGCAATGTCCCTTAAAATTATCATAGATGCAAGAGGAACTGGAATAAGATTTGCACGAGTCAGGCTAATGTACAGGACGCTGATAACAACTTTATCAGCCAGAGGGTCCAGGGCACTTCCTAAAGCAGATTTTTGGTTGGCCCAGTTTCGTGCAATAAAGCCATCCAACAAATCTGTTATTCCAGCCAGAGTAAATACACCCAATGCAATACTGAAATTTTCTTTAACAATCAACAAGCCAAAAACTGATGCCAGACCAATCCTTGCCATTGAGAGAAAATCAGAAATTGTCCAAGAGTTTTAATAGTTTGGCATATCCATGGGAAGGCCTTGCTCTCCTGGCACTGTGTTCTGAGTTTTCTGTGGGCCACCTCCGACCCTGTAGCTGGCTCACTTGCATCGTGGCTGCCTGGTCCAGGCTGAGGTGAGCAGCTGCCAGGAGCCCAGTGGGTGCAGCAGCAGGGGAGGGGAGGCGGCAGCCACAAGCGGCACCTGGGAGAGGAATCTGGCGCTGGAGGCTTCGCTTGGGCCCGCGCCCCTCAGGAGCCCCCAGCTGCAGGCATCAAATTATGTTAATTCTGAACAGGGGTCATGCTTGCTGGTATTCTACTTGATATTATAGTTGGCCAGTAGTTAGACCAAAAAGCTCCACCCTGTAGGAATGCAAAGAAAGGCCACTTTCTGCCTCTGTAATCTCCACCCCCTCTTTTCATTTAAAGATATCGGTTTTTCCTCATGAGGGCCAGGAAAGAGAGAAGTGACTAGCATATGCTGCGAGAGAGTGAAATATGCTGTGAGAGCTTTGATATAGCAATAATAATAAGCTATTTAAGAAGCTGGTCTTTCTGGCAAAGAGAACTGCTGACACAGGAAAAGGAAGCAAAGCTCCAGCTATAAGCCAAGTTCTCCCCAGTGCAGAGATCCTGTTTTTGTACCTCAGTTGGGATTTCTATTTCTGTACAGCATTTTTCGTAACCACTTTCCATAATTATTGTCATAAGAAATGATATAATTCTCAATGCGTTTTGACTTCTAGTTCCTTCAGAACTGCCTGATGTGACTGAACAAACATGAGTGAGAATATTTTTAAGCAGCTGTTAGCAATAAAAATGGTTAACCTTTAAGGTACCTTATCTCTCTCACTTCGGCTCCAACAGACGAAGACGAACACACCTATTTTAACTTTAAAAAGGCAACTCCTACATCCCTATATGTACACAGAGTTCAACTAATCATCCTAAAATCCACAATGGAAAACCACAGAGCAAGCATGTCCGGCCCACTGGTCAGTTTAATCTGGTCCCTGTGGCAGTTTATTTCCTGGGGTAAAATCCTAAGAAAACCTCAACAACTTTGGTCGGCCCTCACAGCCCTTCACTTCATCAAATCTGGCCCTCTTTGAAAAAAGTTTGGACACCACTGCCATAGAGGGACCATCCTTAACTAAGCCATTACTTAATGCAGGGGGGATAAAGAAAGTGCACATTTTTATGGTACCTTCCAACCCTACAATTGTATGATTCTGTGTAATAAATAGCCTTCTAGCAACTTTAGACAGCAGCAGCATGTCAAATTTTCCAGTAGAAGACCAATTTATCCATCTCAACTAATTTTGTTAAAAAGAGACACTAGTCTACTCATGTCAATACTACTGCCACACCATACATTTAAAGTACTATAAACTTCAGCAGTCATGGCTTCCCTTAAATAAACATGGGAACCGTAGTTTGCTTTGCATACTGAGAGTTGTCACAAAATGCCTGTTCCCTCATAGAGCTACATTTTCCAAAGTGGTTTAACAGGCGACTCCTCTTTCCTAGGAGCTCTGTCAGGGGAATATGGGATCTCCTAAGGGCTCTCCCACACCCTGAAAAAAACTACAGCTCCCAAGATTCTTTGTGGGAAGTCAGGGCTGCTAAAATGCATGGCATGGCACAGACGTGGCCTTACATCTCAGAAGATTAAAAACCAAGGGACTGGAATTCTCCCTCCCTCTTTACGTATATATGTATGGAGGGCCACCGACACTAAATTTAACAGGAGAGGGAGGATACAGCCAACAATGCGGGGGGCGGGGAAGGTCTTGATTTATGACAAGCTTACCTGAGCGGCTCATGGAAGAGGAAAAAGAAGAGTAATTTTAACACCTTTTGACAGTCGACCACTGTTTTAACCTTTCTCACCAGGAGGGTCTGCTTAGCTGGAGCCAACCCGCCCCCCAAAAAACCATTTTCCCTTTCCAAAGCGTGGAAGCCCCCCAGCCCCCAAACAAAGGCCTCTGCGTGGGGGAAAAAGGAGCCGAAATCATTATGGAGGCTCGGGGAGAACCAAGGGGCTCGACAACCCGTGGAGATGGCGAAGAACTATGGGGGAAGGAAGGGACCCCGAGAGGCTGGAGCCTGCCCTGCCTACTCGGCAGCTGGAAGGGCCGGCGGGGCCCTGCGTGTTCCTCATACAGCCGAAGCCGGCCGGGAACCCGCGCGGCCCAAGCCAGCCTTATCTCCAGCTGCTCAATCGGCCCCACTTGCCCAGAGGAGGAGCGGGTGTCCGCCAAGTTATCGCTCTCCGGCAGCTTTTACTTACCAAGAAGCGAAGGGGGGGGAGAGAAGGGGAGGCCTCCCGTCCGGGACGAAGGGAAACGGGGAAGCTGCGAAGGGCCCCCTCCGGGGCTCGCAGCTGGGCTCGGAGACAACGTGCTCCGGCTGCCACCCGGCCAAAATGGCCGCCACCCTAAAAGGAGGAGCTGGCGCCGCTCACCATAGAGATGCGGCCTCTGGGCGAGCTACGCGCCGCCGCCGTAGACAAGGGTCAGAGCGCCGGAAGCGCAGGGCGAGGCGGCCACTCTGCGCGTGACGCCATCGCTTAGCGACGGGGTGTCTGTGAAGCCGACGGGAGGGGAGGGGGTTGGCGGAGGAGGGGCGTGGCCACGGAGCCGCCTGCGGCGCCGCCGGACGCGGGAAGCGTAAGTAGCGCTGCTGTTGCTGGTTCTGTTGAGGGAAAGCCGCGTCCCTCAACAGCATCCTCGCTCTCCTTCGCCTGTAATATATGTGCCCTTTTTCCCCACAAGAGAAGGAGATTCGGCCCCTAAAGCTACCAGTTAGGATATTTATCGCGCGCCGTTAAAATTCAGGAGCAGGTAAGGTAGCAGTGGAGACGCCCGTCCTCGCCCACCTGCCGCTCTGCCTTCACCAATGGAGGGAAACGGGTCCCCCCCCCCAAAAAAAACCCCCACACAGATCCAGCAGCCAGATGTAATGGGAGACAAGAAAGAAAAAAATTGAGTGGAGAAAAAGAGAAAGAAAGGACATGGGATACAGAGATGAAGTGTAGGTGAAGGTAAAGGTAAAGAATCCCTGGACGGTTAAGTCCAGTCAAAGGCGACTATGGGGTTGCAATGCTCATCTCGCTTTCAGGCCAAGGGAGCCGGCGTTTGTCCACAGATAGCTTTTTGGGTCATGTGGCCAGCATGACTAAACTGCTTCTAGCGCAGTGGGACACTGTGATGGAAGCCAGAGCGCATGGAAACACCATTTACCACCACAGCAGTACCTGTTTATCTACTTGTGCGGGTATCCTTTCAAACTGCTAGGTTGGCAGAAGCTGGGACAGCGCAACGGGAGCTCATTCCATTCTGTGGATTCGAACTGCCGACCTTCTGATCAGCAGGTGTAGGGGAACGCTTTGAGTCAGGGGGTAGAAAGAGAAGAGGTACCTTCTTAAAACAGAAGGATTTGACCAAGGGAGGAAGTGTCCCTGCTCATGAGCAGACAACCTTTTCTTCACAACCCCTTTCCTGTCTGGGTGTACCCAAGAAGCTAATGTCATGTGCCTTTACCTCAGCCAGAGTCTTGATGTTGCTCTTTTAGTTCATTGAACTGAAGGAAGATAGTAGGCAGAGACTTCACTTGGGTTAGTGAGGCACAGGTGCTGATCTGGGTTATCTGACTTTTCTGGTAAGTTTATTACTGTGCATATGTGCACTCAAAACAATGCACCTTGCAAAGGTCACAGCATCTCCTTTATGTCTTTTGTTAGAAGGATGGCTTTCTATGTGGCAGCACCTGATTCAGGGCTGGAATGGGTGAGAGGCAGGGCTGTGGGCAAAGTACTTTCTCATGTAGGCATTCCACAGGCACCCCCGTCACTATTAAATTCATTGGCCATTGGTGCCACTGACATGCTAATGATTTAAGGAAACTGGCCAGCACAGATGCCAGGTGGTTTTAAAAATCACAGGTTGCATGCGGAACATGTGTTCACTTTACTCATGTCCGTTTGGACTGTAATGTTTCGGAACTTCACATTCATAGCACATGCATACACATGACACATATAGCCACAATCACATATGAGGACTGCTCATGTTGTGACAACAGCAAAAACAGCTTGGTAGGCCTGTAAAAGTCTGTTAAAGTAGCAATGTTACTTGTTTAGAAGAAGATGGAAGGCTGTGCTTTGCAGCACCCTAGCACATGTTCCTTGGTACTCTGAGAGGGATGTGAGATAACATCCTATCAAAATATGCCCAACCTCCTAGTTGTCCACTGTGATGGAGTCTCAGGCAGCCTGAGTTGAATCTGATACAGTTGTTCTGCAGACCTCTTCATTGCCTAGCTAGCCACTCAGCCTTCTCTAGCAGCCACTGTTAATGAGATCCAGCTAGGATAATAATAACTAAAGGAGGAGGAGGAGGAAGTGGTGGCAGCAGCACCTAGGACTTCCCTTGGCAGCAACTCATCTCTCTCAACTGAAGACTGTTGGGGGAGTAAAGGAGGCAGTAGTCAGATCCTGCAATAGTGGGAGGAGAACACTGCTTCTTGCCTTCAGCAATTCAGATGTCAATGACCAGGCTTGTTTTTTTAGCCAATACTGGTATATATTTTATAGTCCATTAGGATTCATCTATTTGACAACTTATTTAAGTGACCATTATGTCTGATTACTGCGTCATTTTGGCTTCTTTAGAGCATATCGGCACTCAAAATTTGAAATAGGTTCTGGCATATGTAACTATAATAGTTTCAATCAAATTAACAATATGAAATGCTGCCAGGTAACAGTTTAGGAAGGGCCAAAAGTGGCCGGTCTCTCAGAAGAACTGATGGAATGGCCATGATTCCCTTCTCTCCAAAGCACATAGGCGGCAAAGCATTGCATTCAGACAAATGAAAAGGCTGGCAGTAGAGGGATGGAGTGACTTGTCCCATCTAGCATAGAACCAGGTGGGCTGCCAGAGAAGGGATGCCCTTTTCTCCTGGCCCAGCTTAAAAATGCAGTGGGTTGCTACAGGAGGGATGGAAATTTTTGTACTTCCTTTGCAGGCCCTTTGTTGGTGGGCTTGTTTACAAGAATGGGTTAGATTATCTAGAGGAAAGATCAGAAATTGCAAAAACTGGTCTTTTATTAATTGCAAAAACAGTCTTAACCACCATGTCCTATATTTGTCTCGCAGAAAAAAGTGTGCCATGATGTCTGACTTCCTGAATATTTGCTCTGTAATTGTGTCTAGGGAAACATTCTTCATTTGTGTTGCATGAAAATTCTGTTTTCCAACCATCAAGGCAGCATGTTATTACAATGGAAAATTGCTTCCTAAGAGGCATTTGGTGCATGGTTGCAAACCACAGATTCTTGACATTTTGAAGAATTTGAAAACTGTTTGGAAACCAGATCTGACACACTGGAAATTGCTATTGCTATTAATAAATTTGAAACTATTCCAGTAGCTGTAACTAATACAACTTAAAGGTCTCTTTGAATTTTCCCGTTGTGTAATTATTTTATAATTCATTCCTGATAATGGCTCTTTATGTTTCTATTGTGACTAGGTCCACAAAGAACAATTTAATTCTTTTACTGCTTGTGCTAAACAGATGAAAGACCACAACAAAAAAAGATAGTAGTTTGTGGATATTTTGTTCAGAAAAGACTGCCTTCTGGTGTCTGATCTGGGAACTGCTCTTTTAATTGCAGCTTAAATATGCATTATTTTTATTAACTTAATTTGATATATTTCAGTTAAATCAATGATTAATTAATCAAGCAAAATAAATGGAAGGAAAAGTAAAAAGGAGAGTAAAAAATGCTGATTATTTTGATTTGTATTCCAAGGAGTTCAGAATGAGGGCATCTATGATGCTTTCTCACTTTATCCCCACAAGCTTGTGGGATGGAGAGATACTCATGGCCCAAGTTCACACAGCTGAGTTTCCTCCTGAGTGGGGATTTGAACCAAGCTGTCCCTGGTCCAAGTCCTAACTGTCCCCTATTCCACATAGGCTTCTGAAAAGCAAAACATGCAATTATACAATTCTTTCAAAGTTGGTTTTCTGAATATATTTTGCACAGATTTTGTTCCCACTAGTCCAGATAGCATAATATGTCTTGTTTCCTTTTCTGTACAGTGTTCAGACTAGCTATTCTTGCAGCCTCATCCCATTGCATGTTTATACTGAAGTTAAGCCCTACTGTATAACTGGACCAAGAGTGGCTAACCTGGGGCCTTCCAGAGCTGCTGGTCTGTTAACTGCTATTAGTCCCAGCCAATGTGACTGGTGGTCAGGGGTGATGGGAGTACAGCAACATATGGAGGGCCAAAGGTTAGCCTCAACTAGACCGTACATAGTCTGAACTATATCCTTATTAATATGATATATCATTATTATTGCATTTATATACTGCCCTTCATCAAGAGACCACAGGGTGGTTTGCAACATAAAATGCAGCTTATCCCTAGACTTTCCCCATACAAAATGTTAAAGGTGAGGATTGTGATCCTAAATGCTGTAGCGCCTTCTACAATATGTTAGGTTTCTCTTTTCCTCTTCCAGCAGCCACTCAGTAGCCTGTATTCAATTCCTTGTTGTCTCTGGCTACCAGGTGAGTGATTAAATAAAAAGATATCTATCTATCTATCTATCTATCTATCATCCATCCAAGTAAAGTAAAGAGGTTCCATCTGTTGTGCTAGCATCAAGTGCAGACATATTTAACTAGATGACTACATATATGCTATTTGCATGTGCCAAAGAGGCTGTCTACATTGCCACATGTGGGACACGGGTGGCGCTGTGGGTTAAACCACAGAGCCTCTTGGGCTTGCCGATCAGAAGGTTGGAGGTTCGAATCCCCGCTACGGGGTGAGCTCCCGTTGCTCGGTCCCAGCTCCTGCCAACCTAGCAGTTTGAAAGCACATCAAAGTGCAAGTAGATAAATAGGTACTGCTCCGGCGGGAAGGTAAACGGCGTTTCCGTGCACTGCTCTGGTTCGCCAGAAGCGGCTTAGTCATGCTGGCCACATGACCCAGAAGCTGTACGTCGGCTCCCTCGGCCAATAAAGCGAGATGAGCGCCGCAACCCCAGAGTTGGTCACGACTGGACCTAGGTCAGGGGTCCCTTTAACCTTTACCCTTACATTGCCACCAAAAGTTGCTGTGTTTGTGGCAGACTCTCAAAATATTGTTCTTCCTTCTCCTTTGTCTTGCACCTGGATTATTTTTTAAACACGTTTGTAACTTCTCCTTTTCCTAGTGAAAAATGACCACTGCTAACAAGACACCACCCGGTGCAGAT